GCACCTGTAGTCCCAGCTACTTGGGAAGCTGAGGCAAAAAGATTGCTTGAGCCCAGGAGTTTGAGATTGCTGTGAGCTAGGCCAATGCCACGGCACTCACTCTAGCCTGGGCAACAGAGTGAGACTCGTTTTCAAAAAAAAAAAAAAAGCTGGGGTTTTGATAGTGAATGAAATGAACTATTCTATCCTCATGGAACTTGCAGATTAGTGGGGGAGACAGACATTAATCAAAGAATCCCAAATATATCAAGTACAGAGTGTAAAGAGGGCATATTCCTGGGGAAATGATCTAATTTGGCAGACATGGATACCACTTCAGAAAATAATACCTGCACTGACAGTTTAGGTACCTAATGAAGAACAGCCAACCAATGGAAATACAGCATGATTTAATATCTTTTGAAACTTAGCAAAACCATAACTAAGCTCCCCAAATCTTCTCCTCTAGCAGTTCTCCTCATCTCAGTGAAAATACGGTTTTCCCAGTTGTCTCAGGCAAAACATTGTAGTTATCTTTGAGTCCTCTCTTTCTTGTATTATTCAGATGGAATTCATATGCAATTGCTGCTGGCTTTATCATCAAAATACATCTTGTGTCCCGTTGCAACACTGCCACCACCATGGGCCAAGCCACCATCATCTCTCAGTGGGACTCTTGCAACAGCCTTCTTCTCTCCTTGCTTCCACTATTGTTCTCCTACAGTCTGTCTCAACGGTGATCCTGTTAAAACGTAAGTCAAGTCTTGTCTCGTTTCTCCTCAGAACTCTCCCAAAGCTCCTCATTTTATTCAGAGGAACAACTAAAGGCCTGCAATGGCCCCCAAGGCCCTGTGGAAACCATGATCTTTCCCTACCTCTCTGCTCACCTCTAGGGGCTCTTCTGCAAGTATTCTCTCCCTCTTTTGTTCTACTCCAGCCACCCTGGCCTACTTGCCGTTCCTTAAACACCTCAGGCTCGCTCTCATCTCAGGGCCTTTGCACTTGCTGTTTTTGGAAATCCCCACTCCACCTTCTCCCTAACTAGTACTTCGAGCCTATTTTCCTGTTCCACAATAATCCTCACTGTCTTAGTCCATTTGGGTGGCTATAACAAATACCATAGACTAGGTAGCTTATAAACAACAGAAAGTTATTTTTTACAGTTCTGATGGCTGGAAAATCCAAGATCAAATCTCCAGCAGATTATGGACTTTTTTTGGGGGGGGCTGCTTTCTGGTTTATAGATAACCATCTTCTCGTTGTGCCCTCACATGTGGATGGGGGAAGGGAGCTCTCTGGGGTCCCTTTTGTAAGGGCACAGATCTCATTTGTGACAGCTCTACCCTCCAGTCCTAATCACCTCCCCAAAGCCCCACCTCTTATTACCATCACCTTTGGGGTTAGAATTTCACCATATCAATGGTTGGGGGGAGGGCATGTGGAACACAAACATTCAGACCTTAATAATCACCATCTAACATACTGTATTTTATAATCAGTTCTTTTGTTTATGATCTGTTGGCCATCACCACTGGAAAATAAAGTTCTATTGTATTCACTGCTGTGACGCTTTAGCATTCAAAAGAATATCTGCCTGTAATCTTAGCACTCTGGGAGGCTGACGTGGGTGGATCCTTTGAGCTCAGGAGTTCAAGACCAGCCTGAGCAAGAATGAAACCTCATCTCTACTAAAAATAGAAAGAAATTAGCTGGACACCTAAATATATATATATATATATATATATATATACACATATACATATATAACATTAGCAGGGCATGGTGGCACATGCCTGTAGTCCCAGCTACTCAGGAGGCTGAGGCAGGAGGATTGCTTGAGCCCTGGAGTTTGAGGTTGCTGTGAGCTAGGCTGACCCCATGGCACTCTAGCCCGGGCAACAGAGTGAGACTGTGTCTCAAAAAACAAACAAACAATGCAAAAGAATATCTGCCACATGGTAGAAACTCAATACAGTACGCGGTTGTTAAATTAATTAAGTTTTTTTTTTGAGGGATTCTTCTGCAAGGCACTTTGCCACTGCATTAGCTCAGGATGGAAAAGAGAGGAGGGTCTTGGAAGCCCAGACCCCAATCGGTCTTCCTGGATGACCACAAAGAGCTTAGATATGTTACTTTTGGGGTGGATATTGTGATACATCAGTCAGATTACCCTTCAAGAATGAAGGCCTTATGTTCTCAGCTGACAGCCCCTTTGGAGGATTGCCAAAGCTACAGAGAGCTGCCTCATCCAATGTTACCCCCTGTCCTGGAGCAGCCCAAACGCAGTGACTGATTGATGGGGATTAGAGAGACCCTGACCTTTTGTCTCAGTTTAGGACAATTCTGAAGGATCCTTCCATCTTCAGAACTCCCCATGGGGTTGGCTGAGGCCCTCAAGCGGCCTGCATGGCAGCTCCACCTCTCCCTGTGCCCAACTGTGCCTCAGTTCCTTCCCTTACACAGGTGTGGATTGCAACGTGCTGCCCACTAAACCTCCTGCACACTAACTCCGTCTCCGAGTCTGCTTCCTTGGGAACCCAACCTGTGACAACCCCCAAAATCAAGATGCATCTCTGTTGCTGATACTGAGACTCGCAAATAGTAACCCTTTATCGTAAGAGGCAAAAACAGACTGTCTCCTAGAAAAGACAATTGGCTTCCTAAGAGCCAGGAGGTCATTCACCTGGGAACTCACAAAATCGATGGCATGCCATTAATGAGAAAATAGAAAACACATCCAAGCAGTTCTAAAGAAAGGGTTATAGTCACTGGGACTTTGGGAATTTTAGTGCCATGCCCAGGTAACATATATGCTTTAAACTGGGGCCTCCTGAAGATAGTTTATGCCCTTTTATAAGAATGCTGGGAAGGCTGTGGTCTTCTCTGCACCTTGGCATCCAGAAATAATCAGGGTTAGTGGAGCCTAACTTTGGAGAATGCTGGGGCAAGGAAGGGTGAAATGGGGCAGTTACAGGTTTTTATGCATACTTCTGTGTTGTTTCAACATTTTGGAAGAAAATATTAATACTTAGTTTTACTTTTCCAATATGAATTGGCAGAAAACGTGAAGACTATAAAATAAAATACATGCCTTCTTAACGCCATTGAATCTAAGTACACAGGAGTCCACCCACTGAAGATATGTCCCGTGTTCCCGGTCCAGTCCTTGCTCCCCGCTGCTGCTCCCTGCAAACTAAATCCGAGCAGGTCTTGGAATATCTTAGATGCTGCTTCTAGAACCTCTGTGCTGATAACATAAAAACCAAACTCCTCACTGGGATACAGAATGCCTTTCACAGTCAAACCACAACCAGACACTCCAGGTTCCATTCTAAGGCTTGGAACATTTTCCCTCTTTCCTGTCACGAACTTCTGAAACCACTTCCTGTTCTCTAAAGAAGCTGGACCCTTCCCAGCTCTTGTGTTTGCATTTATTAATTCCCCTTTCTTTCTTCCTCTAATTCTGCCCCTGCTTTGATGTCACCTCTCTGCCAGCCTTCAGACTCCCCCCACCTCCAGTTTAATTCGTTGCTTCCACTTTTGTTCTCATGCAACACCTTGTGTTTATCACTTTCCTAGCCTTTCTGTTCATTATTTTTTTTTTTTTTTCTGAGACAGCCTCACTCTGTTGCCTGGGCCAGAGTGCTGTGGTGTCAGCCTAGCTCACAGTAAACTCAAATTCCTGGGCTCAGGTGATCTCCTGCCTCAGCCTCCTGAGTAGCTGGGACTACAGGTGCATGCCACTACACTTGGCTAATTTTTTCTGTTTTTAGTAGAGATGGGGTCTTGCTCTTGCTTAGGCTGGTCTCAAACTCCTGACCTCAAGTGATCCTCCTGCCTTGGCCTTCTAGAGTGCTAGAATTACAGGTGTGAGCCACTACGCCCTGCCTAATTTTTAAAAAGATTGCAATATTAATAAATGCTTATGTAAAAAAGAAATCTAAAAAAATTAAACGAAAATATATAGAGTGGCAAGTATGAATCCCTTCGCCCATGTTTTGGTCAGAAGCCAGTTGGTGGGGGTGGAAGAGGTCTACAAGTGCTCAGTATATTATTCTGTATACCTTTTTACATCTGAACTAGTTCATTAAAAATTAGTCTTTTCTTCACTACCCATCCTCCTTGCTAGAAAAATGGCTAATAGTTTATTGTGTACCCATTTTTCTAGTTTATTTGCCACGTTTCCAAGCCTATAAATCTGTACATACACAGATATGTAATTATTTTTTATACAAATGGAACCATGCTATACTTACTGTTCTATAATTTAAAGAAATTAATATACTTTATTTCTTAGAGCAGTGTTAGGTTTAGAGAAAATTGAGAAGATGATGCAGAGGCCCCACTTACTCCCCTCCCCACTCCCGGTTTCCCCTATTACTAACATCTTGCATTGGTGTGGTATATTCGTTACAATTGATGAACCAATATTGATACATCATTATTAACTAAAGTCCACAGTTCACATCAGGGTTCACTTTTTCGTGTTGTACATTCCATGGGTTTTGCCAAATACATTCAAGTATCCACCATTACAGTGTCACACAGTGTAGTCTTGTTACAGCAAGTGTACAGCTAGTACTACAGCTCTTGACTGGGGAAAGAACTGAGTGGCACAAGAAGAGTTGGAGAACAGCTTTCATTCAGCCAATAGGCTCAGCACAGCAAGCATTATGGCTCTCTTCTGACCTCCCACCTTCCTTGGTCTCCTCCTGCTTTTATACCCTTGGTAGGACTCCAAAAAGCATCCAATCAGCAACAAACTTTAACAGCCAATGAGCAACAAGCTTTAACAGCCAACGAGCAACCAGCTTTAACAGCCAATCAGCAATAAGCTTTAACAGCCAATCAGCAATAAGCTTTAACAGCCAATCAGCAACAAGCTTTAACAGCCAATCAGCAACAAGCTTTAACAGCCAATCAGCAACAGCGTGATTCAAAAAGTATCCAATCATGATGGCCCAGCCAGCGGCCTGAGCAGGCCCAGATAGCAGGCGTTAGCTGGGGAGCCCTGCAGCATTCTTCCAGCATGCGGCTCCGGGACGCCGGGGCAGGCCCAGCAGCGTGCCCTCCAACCTGGCCCCACTCAGCGTGGGCCCTAGGGGATGCGGAGCATCAGGGAGGCGGCAAGCGGCCACAGCGCCCAGTTTCGCATCAGTTTCCCTGACCTAGAAATCCTCTGTGCCCTCCCTATTCATTCCTCCCTCTGACCCTGGCAACCACTGATCTTTCTACCGTCTCTGTACTTCAGCCTTTTCCAAAATGTCACATAGTTGGAATCATACAGTATGTATCCCTTTCAGACAGGTTTCTCTCACTTAGCAATATGCATTTAAAGTTCCTCCATGTCTTTTCATGAATAGAGTCTATTTTTTTTAATTGATATCAACATCTTTCTATGTACTTCCATAGAGATCTGCCTTTTTCTCTTTAATGGTCGCATAAGCATTTTATACTATCATTGTATGAACTTCTCGAACCTGCCTGATAGACACGTAGGTTTTCTCAAGTTTTCTGTCTGTTTACTTATCTTTATCTCCTACTAAACTTTGTACTCCTTGGCCTTAAGACATATTCAATAAAAAGTTATTATTATTTCTGTCCACAAAGAAGACCTATTTACACAAGAAAAGGTTGGTGGTAACTCCGAGCCAGAAGAGGGAAGTGACCCGTAAGTGATGGCAGAGGAGTTTGGAGGAGGGAGGGAGAGACAGGCTGGGGACAAATGATCAAGGAGGAGTTGACAGAGGGGGTGAGCTTTTAAATTGAGCCTTGAAAGTGTAGGGACTGGGAGGACTGGTTGATTTTGATCTTTCTCATCTCCAAAATTAAAGAAGCCACCTCGGCCTGCTGATGCCGACGTCAACATCCATGGTGGCTCAGCAGGCTGAGGGCTTGGAAATATGCCCACCCTGACTGCTAAAGCCTTCCCCATGTGCCCTGCATCAGCCCGGAGAGCTGTGAAGGAAAGACAGACTGACTATCAACCAGGGCCTCCTGAGAACATGGATGGGTGTGCATATGCGACTCCCAGGCAGGCCTTGGCCAAAAAAGGCAAGGAGGCCTGGCCTGCAGGAGCTCCTGTTCCAAAAATATTCTCTGCTTGTGAAAATCAAGTAAATGTCAAAGGACTCCTGGGGCAATTTCCTAACTGCTCCTGCGGCTGCATCTCACAACATTTCTTACCCTGTCTGGTATAGAAAGCATCATGGTGCATTCCATCTTCCCCTTCTATGTTGATTGTTCTCATACTCAAGAACATCGTCTTAGCTGCCTTGACTTCTCCTGTAGGACCTGCCATCCAGAGTAACCCTTGGTGTTGGTTGCTGAATGACAGCTATGGTTTGAATGTCCCCCAAAGTTCACATGTTGGAAACTTAATCCCAATGCAATAGGGTTGAGAGGTGAGACCTTTAAGAGGTGAAGAGGTGATTAGATCATGAGGGCTCTGCTCTCACCCATCTGAATGGATTAATGTCATTATTGCAGGAGTGGGAGTGAGTTTGTTGCGAATGCAAGTTCAGCTGTCTCTTGCTCTCAATCTGGCCATGCGATGCCTTCTACCATGTTATGAAATAGCAAGAAGGCCCTCACCAAATGCATCCTCGTTATCTTGGACTTTCTGACCTCAGCAACCATGAGCCAAATAAACTTTTATTGTTTGTTTTATTTTTAATTAATTCTGTGTGTGTGTGTGTGTGTGTGTGTGTGTGTGTGTGTGTGCACGCCAGAGTCTCAATCTGTCACCCAGGCTAGAGTGCAATGGCATGATCATAGCTCACTGCAACCTGAAACTCCTGGGCTCAAGGGATCCTCTTGCTTCAGCCTCCTGAGTAGCTAGGACTGACTACAGGTATGTGCCACCACACCTGGCTAATTTTTTTTCTATATTTTCAGTAGAGACGGGGTCTCATTCTTGCTTAGGCTGAGGGTGATCCTGAACTCCTGACCTCAAAGGATCCTCCCACTTTGGTTTCCCAGAGTGCTAGGATTATAGGTATGAGCCACCACTCCCATCCGACTTCTATTGTTTATAAATTACCCCATCTGTGGTATTCTGTTATAGCAGCATGAGACTAAGACAATGACTAAATGAATGACTAGCGTTAGAAGATACTTCTCCTAATTTGTACTCCCCTGAAAGCATACTCTGAAATAAGGATTCCAGCACAAGTAGCTTATTTGGGAAGTGCTCCCAGGGACACAAGTAAGGGAGAGTGAAAGTGAGATGGGGAAGGGGAGGGAAGGCAGCCAATAAACGAGTGTGTTATTGAGCAAGTTTTCTCTGGGCAGCTAAGCATAATCCCCCCGGGAAACTCTGGGAAATGTTGCAAAACATGTCTTCAGAATTATCCCACCCCACATGAAGTGGCTGAGATATTTATATGCCAAATCCTGAGAGTCCCTGCTTGAGGACTGCTCCTGGGGATATAATCATTTCCCAGTCTTTCAAACCTGCCACACGCAAGAGGACAGGGTGGCCTTCCACAGTTTCAGAAAATTCCTCAGACTCCAAGATGTAGACGCTGGAAGGTGGAAGTTGGCCAGAGCACACGGACATGGAAAGTCTGAGGGGTATGAATGAGGCATACACAGAATCACTACACCACCTTCCAGGGGAAAATGTCCACAGGAGACCTGAGTCCCCTTGGTAGCATTTGTGACAAGCGGTTGTTCTCACTCCCATTTCACACCTGAAGTAGAGGAAACTTAGCATATATCAGGGCAAATGGTTTCATCGTTAGCAACTTCAAATGTTAGAAGTGCTTTCCCATTTATCCTAAAATATTCTTGTCTCTAAATTCCCCAGTGGCTGCTAGTTCAAGCCTCTGGAGCTGCTCAAAACATGTAATGCCTATTCCACATGTCTGCCTTCACACGTCTGAAATAGTCCCAGTAGCCTCTCTGTATACCCGTGGTTCCCGCGCTTTTAAACATCTCCAATTCTTTCAACATAGTCCTCACACGATGTGGTTTAGAGTTCGTAGCCATGCCTCACACACCTGGCTAAGCAAAATTTAAAAAAAAAAAGGAAAATGAAGTTATCTGCTAAGGACCATGTATTAAATCACTTTTAAACACTGGCACCCCTTTAACCCATATTCTTTAAATATATGGTGACTATACAGTGACAAGAAGAGGCTGGGGCCTCCTTGGGGAGATGGAGGATGAAGGTTGTTAACAAAGCTCAGTCTCCCCATTATGGTCCAGCACAGTGCAGCTGCTGTTGGGAGCTTGCAAATACCTACAACAAAGAAAAAGGCCTGTAAATTAACCCTTCTACCTTCTCCAAAAGGCAGATTAGAGATTTGAGTTCTCATTCCCTACTCTGAACCCAAATTGTTTTTGAAACTATCCCTTCCAACCACACATAGCCCTTTTCCTGGGTGGACTGGAGGAAGTGTGGTTTTCTCCATCTTGTTACATTTGTAGCATGGTCTTATTGAGCCCCCACTCCTTTTACAGATTACTTCCTTTCCCAGCAGGTGCTCAGTTTTCCTGACAATGTTTATACTATTCTATAAATACATATTCTTCATTGCACCCCTTGGCGGAAAGGATCATTCTTGTTACAGGAAGGTTCCAAGGCTCATAGAAGTTCAGATGTTTGCCCAATCCTCCCTGAGACTAGACTAGAACCTAGCCCTGCCTGACTCTAGGCCTCCTCTGTTACTATTTCCCTGTTCAGATCCATTCTTTCTTCTGATAATAGTGCCCACATTTATAGTTTGGAAACCGCTCCCTCCACCTGCCTCAATCTTTGTTGTTTGGGTGAAGATGTCTCCACTCCTCATTTCAGAGATCACTTGATTGATCCAGGCATAAGTCAATCACTATATGTTCTCTGCTTGGACAGTTATTGGTTCCAAGGTGAACACATGACCAAAGCCAGGCCTATATTTCAATTGGATGAAAAAAAGCAAGAAATGACTCTTTCCACTAGGACCGGAGATTGGAAGGATGATGTGGCCTGAATCACCAGGAGCCACTATGTAGAGCCTAAGGATGAAGCCATCAAGGAGGACAACTGAGATAAGGAGAGAGGGGGGGCCCAATGACATCATTTGAGTCCCTAGATCCAGCTGAGTCTGAAATCTATATATTGCTGGACTTCTCAGGTACAAGATCAATAAGCCAAAATCAGTCTCTCTCTCTCCCTCCCTTCCTCTCTCCTAAGTAAGTTTGAGTTGGGATTTATTATTTGCAATAGAACCACCAAATACATCCTAATAAATTAGTGCTCTTCTCCCCACACTCTTCCCATGGCACTACACAGCCTACATTTGGGTGTAGACACACAGAGACACATCCACACAACCATTTATTTTTGTAGAGTGCTTTGTAAAGCATTTTCAGACTCATTTGTTCTCATAACCCTTTGAGAGAAATCAGATATACATTAAATTGCTGTAGCTGTTTTTACAAATGAGGAAACTGAGACTCGGAGAAGCTAAATGGCTTTTCTACACAAGCTAGCCAGTGGGTGGCAGACCCGGTATAAGGACCCAGTTCTCCTGGGTCCTAGGCCAGTGTTCTTTCCACTGTATCTTGTTGGATTCCTGGGTTCATGACCCATCTTGATCAACAAGCCAAGTGATCATCCAAATAAGTTCTCTCTGGTCTTTAATTTCTATCTATAAAATAAGGGGATTGGCAATAATGATTTCCTTCCTTCCTTCCTTCCTTCCTTCCTTCCTTCCTTCCTTCCTTCCTTCCTTCCTTCCTTCCTTCCTTCCTCTCTCTCTCTCTCTTTTCTTTCTTTCTTTCTTTCTTTCTTTCTTTCTTTCTTTCTTTCTTTCTTTCTTCTCTCTCTCTCTCTCTCTCTCTCTTTCTTTCTTTCTTTCTTTCTTTCTTTCTTGACAGAGTCTCACTCTGTCATCCAGGCTAGAGTGTAGTGATGTCATCATAGCTCACTGCAACCTCCAACTCCTGGCCTCAAGCAATCCTCCTGCCTCAGCCTCCTGAGTAGCTGAGACTACAGGCCTACACCACCATGCCTGGCTAATGCGTTTATTTTTTTGTAGAGACCAGGGGTCTTGCTATGTTGCCCAGGCTGGTCTGAAATTCCTGGCTTCAAGCAATATTCCCACCTCAGCCTCCCAAAGTGCTGGGATTACAGGTGTGAGCCACTGTGCCTAGCCAGCAACTATGATTTCTAAGGGCCCTCCCAAAACGTGCATTCTGGTAGTTGATTATTTTGCTTTATAACTGTGCCTAGGACTAGCCAGTTGAATCAGAGTCAAAGACGCTGCTGAGAGAATGTTCCATCAGTCAGAGCCTCTGCTCAGCACATGCACTCACACATACACATGTCTGATGTCACTAAAATTTCCGGTGTTTCTGTTCTGAGAAGGAGCAAACATTGGTAACAATCCAAGAGTAATGAAATAATTGTGTAGGTGCCCTGTCCCCCATCTGCTCTATTCCTGTTTAGAAAAAAAAAAAAAAAAAAGGCCGGGTGCTATAATCTTTTTGTTTTTTTGTCCTCAAACAAAATGAAATAAAGCACTCTTTGTGTTGCTACATTTCCCCTGCCAATAAGAGAATGTGCTTTGCACCAGCCCTGAGTCATTTATATGGCTCTGTGTTGGGGAGTGGGAGGGTGGGAAGCTGAAAAGTCTTCCATGGCCAGCTCCTAGGTGTGGATATGAGGTTGGAGGTCCGGACACAGCCCTAAGGCCAGCCATGTGCTCTCCCAGCTGGGGCCTATGGCCTCTCAAGATCTCGAACAAGGAAGCAGTGTGTCCATATGCTGATGTGTTAATGAGGATTTAAAACCCTCTGAGACTACCTACTTGTTGCGGGCACCTCCATAGCTTTCTGCATGTGCAGAATCTGCATTTACTTTGCAGATTCTCTGAATCATTCTTGTACTTTTCTTCTCCAGGAACCTACTTCAAAAGGTTTCTGAAAGGACTGGGAGCACGAAGGATATTTGCCTTGCTATATTTCGCCGAACCCCAATTGTGTCCGGAAAAACTCAAAACTGGTTTTCCTCTGCTCTCACACCACAACAGTCGACACAGGGGACTTCTCTGACCAGATGTTTGGAGGTTTCTCCCCACACCCCAAGGAAGCAATCAATTTTGCAGCTGACACCAGCTGGGTGTCCTCTAATTCAATTCAACCCTGAAGCTATCTGCTGGGAGATAGTCTCAGAAACCACAGGCTGTGGGGCTCAGGGGCTCAGTGTCACACGAGACTGCCTGCTCCTCCCACCAGTCACAACTAGCTTTGCGTTGGAGTTTTCACAACCCCCTGTGTGGGTTTGATTAATTTGTTAGAGCAGCTCACGGAACTCTGGGAAACGCATTTACCTGTTTATTACAGAGGATATCTTAAAGGAGACAAGTAAACAGCCAGATGAAGAGATACACAGGGTAAAGTCTGGAAGGGTCCCAAGTGCAGGAGCTTTTGTCCCTGTGGTGCTGGGGTGTGCACTCATCCGCTCTCCTCCTGCTGGTGAGTTCTTGTTTACTTGGGAGGTTGAGGGGTGGGGCTGAAAGTCCCAATCCTCTAATCAGGGCTTGGTCTTTCCGTGTCCACCAGCCCTCATCCTGCAGGGGCTGCCAGCCCCCTGTCAACTCATTAGCACACAAAAAGACACTTATCACTTTGAAGGTTCCAAAGATTTT